GAGCTCACATTAACACTTTTCCTGTTAAATATTTTCAGCTCCATTTCAGCAGCGTTCAGCTGAACTTTTCAGCATGAAGCGTTCACACGAGCATTTTTGCAGGAAATGCAATTTAGTAAGTAAGTAAGTAAGTAAACTTTATTTCTATAGCACCTTTCACAGACAAACATCACAAAGTGCTTCACAGAAAGCAAAAATAATTAAAAACAATAAAACAGACCAGATATAAAAACAACAATTAAAACAATTAAAATCACTTAACTAAAAGCCTGTCTGAATAATAAAAATAAAAATAAAAGAGTCAGTAGAATCTGAGCAGCGAAGGGACAGAGGGAGAGCGTTCCAGAGCCTTGGGGCCACCACCTGAAAAGCTTTGTCTCCACTGGTTTTATAATGGGTTCGAGGGACCACCAGCAGCATTTGATTAGAAGACCTCAGAGTCCTGGATGGACAGAGAGGCTTCAGAAGGTCCAGTATGTATTTGGGGGCCTGACCATGAAGTGCTCTGAAAGTTAAAACTAAAATTTTAAAATGACTCTTCAAAGTCACAGGGAGCCAGTGCAGAGAGGCTAAAACAGGTGTAATGTGGGCTCTCCAGAGGGTCTTTGTTAATAAGCTCGCTGCAGCGTTCTGCACAGACTGAAGCCGAGTCAAGGAGGATTTGTTTAGACATGTAAAAAGACTGTTGCAGTAATCTAAACGACAAGAAATAAAAGTGTGAACAACCATCTCTAGTTCCTTCTGTGACACAAAAGATCTCAGCTTTGAAATGTTCCTTAAATAATAAAAACAGTTACGAACTAAAGTTTTATAACGGCTGTCAAAAGACAGAACTATCAAAGACAACACCCAGATTTCTGAGACTATTTTTCACTGAATGAGTTAAAAAAGCAAGGTGCTGCCTGATTACAGGGATTTTATCTTCAGGGGCGATAATAAGAGTTTCAGTCTTGTTTGCATTTAACTGCAGGTAGTTGCTGTTCAGCCATGTTTTGACTTCTGACAGACAGTTACTGAGTTCAGATAGTTTGCAGAGCTCAGAGGCTCTAAAGGAACATTACAACTGTATGTCATCAGCACACAGATGGTAGGACACATTACTGTAATGTTTTAAAATACCTCCTAAAGGGTACAGGTACAATAAAAAGAGGAATGGATCCAAAACTGAACCTTGGGGTACCCCACAAGACAGATGAAAAAGACGTTTTCAATAAGCCCCTGCTTATTTCAGCAAGACAATGCCAAGCCACATTCTGCACGTGTTACAACAGCGTGGCTTCGTAGCAAAAGAGTGCGGGTCCTCCCCTGGCCTGCCTGCAGTCCAGACCTGTCCCCCATTGAAAATGTGTGGCGCATTATGAAACGTAAAATACGACAACGGAGACCCCGGACTGTTGAACAACTTAAGCTGTACATCAAGCAAGAATGGGGAAGAATTCCACCTGAAAAGCTTCAAAAATTGGTCTCCTCAGTTCCCAAACGTTTACTGAGTGTTGTTAAAAGGAAAGGCGATGTAACACAGTGGTAAAAATGTCCCTGTGCCACCTTTTTTGCAATGTGTTGCTGCCATTAAATTCTAAGTTAATGGTTATTTGCAAAACAAAATAAAGTTTCTCCGTTCGAACATTTAATATATTGTCTTCGCATTCTATTCAGCTGAATATGGGTTGAAAAAGATTTGCAAGTCATTGTGTTTTGTTTTTATTTACGATTTACACAACGTGCCAACTTTTCTGGTTTTGGGGTTTGTGATTGAAAAAGTCTAGTTAACTAGCAGGCTGGTAATTTACTGGTCCTGTTTATTTTAATACAGGCCAGGTGACCCTTTTTAGGGTTAAAGGATGGCGAGCTTCTGAGAACTGGCTGGGGCCAGGAGAACCTGAGATTTACTCCATACTGGTCTGGTAGGAGGCTGTTGGTCTGTATCATTTCCCCCCTCCATCTTACCTTTCAGACACACAATCCACTATTCATCTTTTTTATCTGAAACGACTTGCGCTTGGACATTGTCATCTCAAATATCTGGACAATTCAACCATGGACTTTTTGAATGTCTGTCGGTCAGACACTGTACTGACCAGTGAGGAAATTTAAGACTGTTGTGCACAAATGTATAGAAGATCAACTGCAGTACTGTGTATATTTTGTATTTATTATTTTGGGTTCTATGTATGTTTGTCTTGTGGTGTTCACTTTAATTTTCTCTTTAAAATACATGGTATTGAAAGCAGTTCTTTTGTTTTGTTTTTATTGATTACTGACAACAGCTCCAGTAGACGAATTTAGTCTTCTGATTTATTCCACCTAGTCCTTTCGTACATTAAATAGTGCTACAATTGCATCAACTCTGTTACATACAAAAGGGCAACTTCACCAAAGTAAAACGTAAATCTGTGGATCTGTGTTTCATGATTACTCTGGCTGGCTTTCTCAAGGACCAGGATGTGTGACACAAAAATCTGAATTTTGGAACTGAAATTTAATTATAACTGAAAGTGAAAGTAGTCAAACTGAATTTTTATTAAACCAAAACACAGTTTCATAGCAAATTAAGTTTAAATTTAGTGAAATTTATTTTCAAACCAATGCGTTCAATTTCAAATTATGCACATTCAGATTCAATCTGAGCAATTCAAATTCATTTATCCCGTACAGGGCTTAGTCTGCAGTGATGAAGGGAGCTGTTTTGATCTCTCATCATCAGGAAGTAGCTGAGCTGAAAGACAAAGCTCTCAATTTACTGGGTCCATCCATGTTTCAACCTTCATTTAAAATAATGAGCTACAGATTACAGCTGAAATAAACTTCTTCTGTAGGGTGGCAAATTGAGGAGCTTCATCATCCAGGGAGAGAGAGCGTAAAAGGAGTCACCTGAGGCTCTTCAGGCATTTAATTAGGATGCCTCCTGGAGGTCTCATTCTGGCACCTGGAGGTTTTCCAAACATTGCAGGGGTTATAAAGTATATCCTCTCTGGCCTGGAAATATTTTCAGATCCACCAGGAGGAGCTGGAGAGGAAGACCTGAGTAGGTCTCCTGGAGTTACTTGGATAAGAAAATGAATGGATGGATGTTAAAGACAAAAAAATGTCAGTGGATATTTTACACTCAGGCACTGTTACATGGATTAAAAGCAATTTAAATGTAAAAATTGTTTTCATATTCACCACATATGTTCAACGCCAACAACCAGCATCACTGAAAGTATCTAAGATAACAGCATTCTTTGTAAGGTGACACCAACTTGTTAAAATCAGCAAAGGAGAAAAAGGTTTTTATTGTTCACCAAAATGTCTCTGCTACTATTGAAATTAAAATATAAGCTACTGCCAAACTAATTTTATTACAAATGTTGATGCTTCCTAACACATAATGTTAGTTAGATCAATATTAGCTAGTTAATTGTGGCATTCATCAATTAAATTAAAACTCTTGATGTGCTCAGGAATATCTTGATCTGTAAAATTAATCACTACACCTATACTAAAACAAAACATTAACTTTGCCTTTTTTTAGCTGATCCCCTGCCAGACTTTAATAGTGACACTTGCTTTATGGCAAAAACAAATAACTTTAGAGGCATGAGGTGCTTCACAAGAATAACAGTTTTCTAAATCTTAGGATTTTGATTGTCTTTAACGTTTTAAAATGATTTGCACTGCAAATATATTTACAGTATTTACTTTTATTTGTAGAAAATTGTACAAATGCATAGACACGATGTAAAACAGAAAGGGGTTGTATGATTAAACACTGTTTCTTCCTCCATATGGTAGTTTATACTGTACATTACAACAATACAGAGTAAAGTCCACAATACCTGTTCTTTCTAACACCTTTACAACAAAACAGCACATTACATTATATTTTATTGACTGGTAAACGCTCTGTTACATGAATAAAAAATAGGAGTTTAGGTTTCTACTGAGCTACAGTTAGCAAAAGTAGAGTACAATCATGAGAGAAATCTGCAAACAAAACACAAAAATTGAAAAACAACCTAATTCTTATTTGTCGTGGTGTTTTTTGGTGAAGAACACAGTTTGGTGGGTGATGTGTAAAAACTTCATAGTCCATTCATGTGACTGGCCCTCTTTCATCACAGTCGTTGTGAGTGGATTCAAACTGTTCATCGATAAAGGATTCAATTAGCTGTGAGAAATATTTGCAGCCAAAAGCTATAATCTAAGAGATTAGTGTGATTTTTTTTTTATCAGTGAACACCTCATCTACACTACACTCAATATAAAAAAATAGCCTTTTTTAGCTGTGTTTGCACCTCCTATCCACCCACAAATACAGTTTTGTTTGAAAAATAAAGAGGAATTATGTTTAAATGATTTGCAACGTGAATATTTTACCAAATAAAATCATTACTGGTGTCTCAGTGTAGGCTTGAAGTATGGAGCTTTTCAGAAACATTATTTAACAGCCTATTTCATTCAGGCACATTATCACTTTATGCTATTAAATCCAAAACTGCAACAAGACTATTTTTTTACAGTCTTTTGTATCTTCACCTGTCTCACTCTCAGATTCTCACTTCTTAACTTGCATTAAGTCTTAAAATAGTTCATTACTAATAAGAACTTTCAAACACTCAAAAAAAGTAAAGAAAAAAGCAGTTGTTTTGAGAAACACTTTAGTTATGCTCTTTATCTGCAGTTTGATGCGTTGTTAACATTCTCCTAATGACACAAAAGCCAGATAAAAAAATTGAACTTAGAACAAATAAGAATGAAATTTGTGTTTGGTAGATCTGCTTCTTGGCAATAAATCTTATACTATTGGAAAGCCTCTTAAATTCCAAAAAGAAAAAAAATGTATAGCTCTTCTGGACGGGTTCTTCTCTAATGAAACGTTTCGTCTCTCCTCCAAGAGACTTCTTCAGTCTCAGGATTACTGAGATGCATCAGGACCTCTTAAATTCCCTTTTAAATGGTGCCACATTTGTAAGGAACATACATTTGCAGGATGAGCAGTAGAGCTGAGTATGTGGGTTGTGCACATGAAATATTTGCAAAATCCTATCAGTTAAACAGATTATTTTACTGTTTTTATTGACACTTGTTTTGAGCTCCTGGTACCCCCTTGCTGCTGCAAGTTATTGCCAAGAAGCATTGTTACAATATAGAAATATTCTACCAAACACATGTTTCCTTACTTTATGTGCTAAGTTTATATAGCTTTGTGGAAGAACCTGACTACAGAAGCTGTAAGCAAACTCACATCATGTTAACGTCATACCTGACATCTGTAGGTGGCCCATACAATAAATAAATGGGAGCAATTATCTTTTAGTTTGTATTTTCCACAAACTGTAGTGGAAAAGTCACAGACCACAGTTTGTATAGCAGCATAATACAATTATTTGATTTTAGAATCAGATGCTTATGACTCCAATGTTCCAATGTTTTCAGACTTTTGATTGTGTTTTCTCATCTTAGAGTGGTATCTTATTTATGTGCATAGTTTAATGCAGCTGTTGGTGGATCACTAAGTTCAGTGCTGAAACACTGGTACTCTAAAGACAGGATGTTCCTTTATAAAAAAAAGAGAAAAAAGCTCTGAAATCAAATATAGCCTGTTAGGCCCCGGGCTATAGTTAGTGCTACTGTAGATCAGATTTTTAAGCATGTTCAGTGTTAGGATGAATAAGTCAAATCATCTGTTCATAACAGTACACACCAAATTTCATTGATGGAGCAGGGAACCCAAAGCAATGTACACCTGGTTCTAGTGGACCACAGTTAGCTCGGGGGGTTGTGATTGGATAACGTACACTTCTATCAGACAACCAGCCCGCCTTACAGCAATCCAATCCCATTAACTTCCACGCAGCGTACAATTGGCCCACTTTGGCAATTTGACTTCCTTTGCTGGCACAAGCCTGAACTGCTTCAGTGAAGTTGAGCTTGGTCGGGTGCTTTAAGTAGTACACAGTCCCTAAAGCAGAAGACAGTAATCAGTGAACAACCACGTACAGTGATTTTTTTTTTTTCAATAATAATAAAAAAAGAAACCTGTACTTATACTGACCTTTGATGGAGGCGGTGAAGCAGAAAGCATCATACTGGTGGAGAATTTTATGTCGGTGTCCGTAGCTGCGCACTCCCGGGGCTACATCTTTACCACCGCAAACGACACGTGAATCTCTGATTGGATACTGGACTGTGCCGTCAGCCAGCCAGCCAGCGTTGCACCAGTCAAGCCCGTCCTCCCACTCGGCGAAAAGCTGTTCGAACGTAGCCAGAGTGGCGTCCTGATCCTGACACGCTTGTTGGGCATCAAAGAAGTTAAAATGGTAGCGCCCTTCATGAGAGTAATAGGGGAATACCACACCTGCAAGGGAAAAAAACAGTATTTAACAAGATATTGTGGAGGTACAGTACGTAATCCAAAATGATACAAATATTTCTCACAACAAAAGTGTCAGAAGCTGGACATCAAAGCTGCGTTTGATTTGAGGCAGCATTTTACATTTTAAAATGTCTTATTTACTTTCTTTAAAAGAACGGCGCACATTAATCAACAGGAATACAAATGTACCAGAATAGCTAAAAAAAAGCCTTAAAGAAAGTAAGTGAGGGCAATCTTTTAAAATACTAACAAGTGGTAGAAAATTCTGCTCGTGGTTTTGAAGTGATGTCAAATTTGCTTGGCAAAATGCAAAAACTGAGTATTTATTTTCAGCGATTGCTGGTGGCCAGGTGACAGTTTGAACGTTTGCACGATTTGTGACACATTTTATCTTGAAACAGTCACAGAGTCGTCACAGGCATATTCAACCCATCTCAAGAGCTGCATTGTGAGACGGGAGCTCTTATGTCTGAGGATTTCAAACCTAAAAACTGAACTGGTGATCGATAATTATTGGCATAATTTGTTAATTTGGTTTTCAAAGGAGTACTCCAGTAAAGTAAGTCATAAATATGAGAGCGGCTACAAGGTTGGGTGGAAAAGCAGCCGAAGTGGATGAGATGTGGGAGGAGGAGGGCAAGAAAATCCTGTTCATGGCCAACAATACAATTTTGTCAGTGGTGACAAGTCAAACTCACCTGTCAGCTCTAGCTTCATCGTTACGCTTTCATCCTCCAGCCCGTCGATCACTTCGCATCGATAGCGCCCCGTGTCGTTCAGCTGCAGCTCGTTGATTACCAGAGACATGTCTCCCGGAGCTGACCGCCTCAAACGCACACGACCTTTGAAGCTGCCGTAGCTGCGGTGACGGCCGCCCATGGCCACCATCACTTTGGACTCCCTGGCGAAGGTCTCGGGCGAAGTGGTGTTAGTGTAAGCAGGCAGCCAGAACCATCTGACCCGGGTCCTGCGGGGCGTAGTCAGCTCAGGCTCGTAATGGTAGTGGCAGAGAAGAGTGACGTTGCTCCCCTTGGTGGCTGACACTGAATGCTGAGGTGACTCCACGTGGAGGCGGATCCCATTGAAGTAAACTGGAAGATGCACAAAACACCAGAAAGATAATGAGCAGTTTTATGTTGGGATGTTTACTAGTACGCTCAAATGAATACATTTGTGTTCAGAATTCATATTTTCTGAGAATCATGCTGTACTGAAAACAGAAGTAATAGCATGGCATGTGAACATCCAAAGCTGCACTGAAAAAAAGGATTTTTGGGTGTAGTAACATTTATTTAATTATTCTTTTAAATTTTACAAAAAAATATAAAATTTTCTGAACTACTAAAATTTACTAAATAAACAATATGCATTATATTATACTGTATATCAATATTACTGTACAAAAAAGTAAATGCTAAAATTATTTTACTAGTAATATTTAAGTGCTTTTTCTGGACAGTGCATAAACATTAAGTAACTTCTACTCTTCAGGGCTGAAACTGAGGGCGCATGCGCTCCTCATTCCCTTGCCTCACTTTTCAAGGAGAGGACAAGAC